CATGTATTCCATTAATACCAATCCCAGCTATTTACCTGAGAGAAATGAAAACATACGTTCACCCAAATACTTTTATATATCAGTTGTTAAAATATTATGTGGAATTTGAAACAAGTACTGCTATTTAAAATTAATAAAAATAGATTAACCTCATCAATTAAATTCTCAAAATGAATTTTGCAAGCAGTTCAATTGAATAATATCTACAAGATTCTTTTTTTTTTTTTTAAAGACTTTATTTATTTGAGAGAGAGAGACAGATCATGAGTAGGGAGCAGAGGGAGAATCGGGGCTCGATTATATAGTTATATAGGTAGTTATATATAACCCTAAGTGAAGGTAGATACTTAGCTGACTGAGCCACCCAGGCACCCCATATCTACAAGATTCTTAAAAATGATGAAAATAAAAGGATGGACAAAGGTATACTAGGCAAAGGTGGTGAACAATAGCAATAAATAAAGTTAGGTAGTAATCTGAACAGATCTACACTGATAGAACTTTATTAAAAGATTTAGTTGAGGGGCACCTGAGTGGCTCAGTCGTTGAGCGTCTGCCTTCGGCTCTGGTCATGATCCCAGGGTCCTGGGATTGAGCCCCGCATCGGGCTCCCTGCTCAGCGGGAAGCCTGCTTCTCCTTCTCCCACCTCCCACCCCCACTTGTGTTCCCTCTCTTGCTGTCTCCCTGTCAAATTAAAAAAAAAAGATTTAGTTGAGAAAGACAGAACCTGAACTCACTGGAAAGTTTTGAGATCTGATAAAGAAATGATAAATATGTGTATAAATCTAAATAATTACTTTATAAAACTTAGTAGTAAAGTTTAATTTGCTTGATTAATGGGAAGAAAACAAGGTGGAAATACGAACTGGGTAACGACATCTGAGATGGGAAGGGGATAACTAGAATCAAAGCATTCAAAGGTTCTTGTACTCTTTAGCAAAAGGGAAGAAAGAATTCAGTTTAGAATTCATGGATATGCTAAAAATTCAAGGATAATCAAAGAGGAGAGTATTTATAACTTCTGAAACAAAAGAAAACAGAATATAAAGAAAATAATTCAGTAGAAATCTGGATGAAAGCATATAATAATTAGGGAAATTCAAGGCATAAAATAAGAAGTCAGAAAAACCAGAAACAACGTAATACAAATAAATTGAAATGAACCAAATTAAATAAAAAACAGGTTATGCAATTAAGAAAAAACTCAATTAGAAGATGTTTATTAGAGAAAAACCTAAATCATATGAACACAGATTCAAAATAAAATATTGAATAAAGTTGTATCAGAAAATTTATTCTTGCTCTCTTGTACAGTTTCCCACCTCCTTTAGGCAACTCTTGTTAAGATTTCTGTTACTATAAATGTTTTGCCTTTTCTAAAAATTTTACTGAAATGGATCATACAGTATGTATTCTTTTGTGTTCCGATTCTCTTATGCAATATAGTGATAAACACATTCATCTATGTTGTTTATATACAATTAATTTGTTGCTGGGTTATTGTATATATATAAACAATTGTATATACAACTTTGTGTTTATCATTTGTTTCTTGATGGATATAAGGGCTGTATACTGTTTTGAGCTATTACGAGGAGCCCTGCTATAAACATTCTTATTCAAGTCATTTTGTGTACATATGTTTTCATGCCTCAGGTAAAACTTATGGTTGGTTACTGTGTCATTAAAGTAAGACTTGTTTAATGTCATTAGGAACTGTCCAACTTTGATATCTTAAAGATACTTTGTTTTCTTTTGACATTATTTGTGATGATAAACTCAGATGTCATCTTGTTATAAATTCTTTCATATCTAATGTACCTTTTTTCCCTCTGGCTGCTAGGCATTTTCTCTTTGCTTTTTGGTTTAGTAATTTATTATTTCCTAGATGTGATTTATATTTATCCTCTTTGGGATTTGCTGTACCTTTTGGACCTGTGATTCAATTGTTTTTCATCAAATTTAGGAAATTTTTGGCTAACATTGTTTCAAAATTTTTTTCTACTGCAATTACTTTTCTTTCTGGATGTCAGTTACGTGTTTTTAGAATATTTGATATTGTCTCAGAGATTCCTTATACTTTGTTCCTTTTTCTTTTCTTTTTATTCTTTTATTCTTCAGATTAGATAGTTTTTATTTATTGATTTCAAGTTCATTCATCCCCCATTTAAAGTCTTCTTTTAAACCCATAGAATGAATTTTTTATTTTTAGTTCCAGAATATCCATTTGGTTCCTTTTTACAGTTCCCAGTTTTCCCTTGAGTTTTGCTGTCTGTTAACTCATAAGACCATCTTCTACTTTAAGTCCTTGAACATTATGATAACTATTTTAAAGTTTTTTTTTATGCTGATCCTAGCAAGTGGGGGATGATGGGATCTGAAGCTGTTGGAATGGGATCAGGAGAGAGGTGCACAGACCTTCATTTTCTAAGTGATCAGTTACAAACGTTCAGTGTATGACTCCTGTCCTCTTAATGTTTAAAATATTTAATAATTGATCTTGAAAATCATCACACAGAGGGGAAAAAAGAAAGTCAAATAATATGCATAAAAGAATTACCCTCAAAGAAACACCCTATTGTGTTTGCAGGGAAGATACTCCAAGAAAGAGAAGAAAATTTCCTGTGAGTACTTTACAGTATGGAAGAATTTAAGAATGTGTATCCAATAAAGCAGTAGCACAAATTTAAGACTATAAAATATCAGAATGATATTGAAAAGAGGTATTGAACTACTAAAGCATTCAGAGGCATAAAGCTACATCTGTATGAGCTCAAAAAATGGTGGAAAATAGCTGAAAATTGAATTACTAATATTGAAGAAAGGCCTGAGATGATTATGTTTCAATACACGGAAGAAAATAATAGATATGGAGGATAGAAAATGATAATTTGTTGTAGGGATAATTGGTGCCCATAACTAAGGAACTGATTAAATAAAAACAATGAATTCAGTATATAAGAAAATAAAGTTATTCAAAGTTCTAAATGAATTTGTTGATCACAAGATATATTTCCAGTAACAGTTTACTGGAAATTCTCCTGGGAATTTACTTAGGAGTAGAATTGCTGGGTCATATGGTAATCCTATGTTTACTTTTTCGATGAACTGCTAGATTGCTTTCCAAAGTGACTGTATCATTTCACATTTCAGCAGTGTATAAAAGGTTCTAATTTTTTCATGTCCTTGGCAACAATTATTATCTGTCTTTTTGATTATAGCCATACTGGTGGGTGGTATCTCGTTGTAGTTTTGATTTTCATTTCTCTGTTGACTAATGATGTTGAGCATCATTTCATGAACTTATTAGCCCTTTGCATATTTTCTTTGGAAAAATATCTGTTGTAATCCTGTGTTCATTTTTAAATTGGGTTGTCTTTTTATTATTCACTTGTAAGAGTTCTTTTTATTTTCTGGATTCAAGTTCCTTATCAGATATTTGATTTACAAACATTTTCTATCATTCTGTGGGTTGTCTTTTTTTACTTTCTTGATCTGTTGTCTTTTGAAGCACAGTAGTTTTAAATTTTGATGATGTCCAGTTTATCCATGTTTTTCTTTGGTTGCTTATGCTTTTGGTGACATACCTAAGTAATATTATTGCCTAATTCAATGTCAGAAAGATTTACTCCTATGTTTTCTTTTAAGAGTTTTATACTTTTAGCACTTATTTTGATTTTTGGTCCAACTTCATTCTTGTACATGAGGATATCTAGTTTTCCCAGCACCATTTTTTGAAAAGATTATTCTTTTCCCATTGAATTGTCTTGACACCTTTGTCAAAATTCATTAGATCATAAATGTAAAGGTCTATTCTGTATTCTCCATTCCTTTCCATTGTTTGTCTTTCTTTATGTAAGTACCATACTGTCTCAATTACTCTACCTTTATAGTAAGTTTCGAATTCAGAAGTGTGAGTCCTCCAACCATGTTCTTCTTTTTCAGCATTGTTCTGACTATTCTGGGTCCTTTGCATTTCCATATTAATTTTAGGATCAGTTTATTCATCTCTATAAAAAAATGATGCTGGAATTTTAATAGAGATTGCATGGACCTGTAGATAAATTTAGGGAGCATCGCTAACTTAACAGTAATTAAGTTTTCCAATCCATGAGTATGAATAGCATTCTTCCATTTATTTAGGTTTCTTTTAATGATGTTTTGTAGTTTTCAATGTAGACATTTTATACTTTTTAAAGTTTATTCTTTTTGTATTATTTTGATGTTATTATTAATGGAATTTTCTAATTTTATTTTCTGATTGTTTATTACTATTGTATAGAAATACAATTGATTTTTAAATATTGATCTTATATCTTATAATTGTGCTGAATTCTTTTATTAGTCCTAGTAGTTTTTTTGTGGGTTACTTAGGATTTTCTACATACAGGATTGTTATCTTGAATAGATACTTTGACTTCCTTTCCAATGTCTCTTAACTATATTAAATGTCCGTGTATATGGTGTTAGTAAATTCATGGCCTTATGTGTATAGCGCTTCGATGTTTATCATATGATTTAAAGTAAATTATAACTTTAAAATATTGGTAATCCTTAGTAAGGAAATAATTTGTTGTTTTTGATTCGCATTGTCTATATGTAAGATTAATTGGCCTCTGAACTCTATAGTCCATGTTAGCAATATATTTATTACTGAAAAATGATGCAAAGGAATCGTTAGGAATTTTTTGAATATTAAAATAATGAGCTTATACATTTCTAGACCTTCAACCCAGTTATCCTTCATATTCTGATAATGTTTAAATGAGAGAAGAAATAAAATTTATTATTTAATTCCCTAATTGGGTTCATTGTTGGCTAAGTCAGGTTTGTAAGTAACAGTCATGGGACTTGGTTCATGTTATTATTTAGACATTTCTGACATGTTTAGCAAATATTTACTATTGAAGTACATTAATTTTATTTGTCCTTAGAAAAAATGTTTCATGTTTAGTTTCTTTTAGCATTGATTTGAAAATGTCTGCTTTTTGTTTGTTAGGTATAACCCGGAAAAATCCCAGAACACCTCTTTCTGATCTCCAGGGCATGAATACTCTAAATGAAAAAAACCAACAGTAAGTATGCTTAGTTTATGTTTTCAAGGAAGTATAGAAGAAATAATTAGAATCCTTATTAATACTTTTGTGGGTTAAAAAATATGAAGAAAATCAGGCCTAGTTTGTTTTTGTTTCATGATGCTTTTATGAATAGTGTAACAAGGTATGAAACTGGACTAAATATGTGTGTGTAACTAGTCACAGTACTGTTTGCAGTAGCATTAGCTATAGTAAGAGGTAAGACTGAGAGGATTTGAAATAGTACATAATAAGTTTGATAAACATGTTTAGTGGGAAGCTCCTATTCAAGCTTTACACATTAATGTAGCATTTGATATAAGAGAATATACAGAAGACACATGTACATTAGGAAGCATACCAACAAAATGAACCTACTACCCAAGTTCAGAACCAGAAGACTTTAGTATTACTGCAACCACCTTTATATTACTTTCTGATCACTCCCTCCTCTCTACTCTCAGGTAACTGCTATCCAGAATTTTATGTTTATCATTACTGTGCTCGTAAAAAAAGTTTTACAGTAAATGTATGTTTTTGCTAAGCAATAACTTGTTTGGCTTTTCTAGTTCTTGAGTTTTACAGAAATACTGGTAAATAGTATGCTGTCTTCTATGACTTTTTTTTCCCCCTTCAACAATATTCATCTAAGATTCAACCATCTTCTTGCAAGTAGTTTATTCTTTTTAGTTGTTGTATAATATTATATACTATGGGGGAGTGGGGAGTTATTGTCTAATGAATACAAAGTTTCAGTTTGGCTAACACTGGAGATAGATAGTGGTGATTTTTGCAGAGCATTGTGAATGTACTCAATGACAGTATACTCAGTGTACTTAGAAAATATTAAAATGGACAGAGAACAGATTGGTGGTTGCCCAAGGTTGGGGTAGGGTATGGGCAAAATGGGTGAGGTGGTCAAAAGATACAAACTCCCAGTTCTAAAATAAATAAGTCATGGGAAAGTAATGTGTAGTATAGTGACCATAGTTAATAATATTGTATATTTGAAAGTTGCTAAGACAGCAGATCTTAAAAGTTCTCATCACAGAACAAAAATTTGTAACTGTGTGTAGTGATAGATAGTAACTACACATATTCTGGTGATCATTTTGCAGTGTATATAAATATTCAGTCGTTCTTTTGTATATCTGAAACTAATGAAATGTGTCAATTATTTCTCAATAAAAAAGAAAAGTGGTAAGTTTTATGTTTTTTTTTTTTTTTTTTAAAGATTTTATTTATTTGAGAGAGAGAGGGAGCACTAGCAGGGGAAAGGGGAATGGGTAGAGGGACAAGCAGACTCCCGCTGAGTGTGGAGCAGACTCGGGGCTCCATCCCAGGACCCCGAGATCATGACCTGAGCCGAAGTCAGACGCTTAACCAACTGAGCCACCCAGGCATCCCATTATGTGTTTTTTTTATCACAATAAAATAATTACATGGCATTAATATACCGTAATAGATTTGTCCATCAGTGGATATGTGGGTGGTTCTTTTACCATTGCAAATGGTGCTACTTTAAACATGCTGATACCAATCTCCTGGTTCACCTATTATTATATCTCTGGGATATGTACTTAGTAGTGGAACTGTTAGTTCAGTAGGAGTTTTATAAGATAATCCCAAATTGCTTTTCAAGGTAGTTGTACTAATGTACACAAACAGTGGCAATTGAAAGTTCCCTTTGCTTCATTCCTTGCCAGCACAACTGATTGTCAGACTTCTTAACTTTTGGTAATCTGGTGGTTATGAAATGGTATCTCATAATTTGCTTTTCCGTGCTTATTAAGGATGCTGAACAGTTTTTATATATTTTATGGCCATTCATGTATTTTGAAATGCTATTTGCCCATATCTCTTTTTTAAAAAGTATTCTTTATAAATTTTATGTACTGATTCCATTTCAGTTATATGTTCTGTATCCTGATTGTGGCATTAGTTACACAAATGTATAGATGGGGTACAATTGCAAAAATCTATATAGAGACACACCTGCAGATTTCTAAAAATGGTGAAAACTGTAGTCTAGTTAATATTAATGTGCTAATGTAAATTTCCTGCTTTTGATAATATACTATCATTATCACTATATAAGATGTCACTTAGGGAAGCTAAGTGAAGAGTAGGTACATGGGACTCTATGAACTATTTTTTCCTTTGTACTACTTTTGAAACTTCCTGCTTTTGAAAAATGGAATGTAACCTTAAAATATTTTTCCATTAGTTCTTTTTAAACTATGCTTTTTGGATAGCTGGGACAATATCTTTAAAATTTTATAGTAACTTCCTTCTGTCTTTCTGGTCAAGCTTTTAATTAAAAAGGACAGAAGATAATAATCAAACATGCAAAAATTTAATTACAAAAATTTTCATCAATATAAAAAAACCTAAGTAACCAGTAACTGGAAACAGGTGAAATAAATTATGTTACAACCACCCAATGGAAGTCTATGAGGTCATTAAAAATCATGTTGTAGAGGCACCTGGATGGCTCAGTCAGTTGAGCACTGACTCTTTGATTTCAGCTCAGGGTCATGAGATCGAGTCCATGTCGGTGCGGGTGGGGGGGTCTCCATGCTCACGGGGGAGTCAGCTTGAGATTCTTTCCCTCTGCCCTTCTCCCTGCTCTCTCTAAATAAATAAATAAATCTTTAAAAAAAAATCATGTTGTAGAATAATATTTAATGGCATAAAAAGATGTTAGCATATATTATTAAATTTAAATACAATACTGTTTGATAACAGTTTTAAGACAATTACATTTTTATACTTGGAAAGAAGAATATATGCCCCCCCAAAAAAATTTTTCATAGCAAAGGAAACATTTATTCAAAGAAGATATATGAATCACCAATGAAGATATACAAATGATCAATAAGCACATGAAAAGATGCTCAACATTTGTAGGCATTAGAGAAATCCATTATCAAAACCACAATGAGATACTACTTCACACCCATCACTAACACCACTAAAATTAAAAGGACAGTCAATAACAGATATTGGCAAAAGAGAAAATGGAACACTTATCTATTACCAGTGGCAATGTAAAACGTCACAGCCACTTTGAAAAAAAGTTTGGCAATTTCTCAAAATGTTAAACAAAACACAGAGATTTGACCCAGAAATTTCATTCCTAAGTACATACTCAAAATAATGGAAAACATATATCCACACAAACACTTGTACATGAATGTTCAGAGCAGCATTATTCTTAATAGCCAAAAGGGGAAGGGCACCTGGGTGGCTCAGATGGTTAAGCATCTGCCTTCAGCTCAGGTCATGATCCCAGGGTCCTGGGATCGAGTCCCACATCAGGCTCCCTGCTCCTTGGGAGCCTGCTTCTCCCTCTGCCTCT